GTCATAATAAATAATTAATAAATTCGTTATTAGTAATAGAAAACTAGTTTATTTATAAAGATAATAATTAATTATTATTATTATTATTATTATTATTATTATTAGGAAATAGAAAAAGTATTTAAATTAAATTCTTATAAAATAAGATATTATTAAATATAATTAGTAGTATTCCGGGCCTATTAATAAGTTAATTAAATTAGAAAAAAAGAGAAATATAAACTTAATAGTAATTATAAATCTTATATTATTTGCCTTATTTTGTAATAAAATTAAAAGCAAGCTAGTTTTATTTATAAGTAATATAAAAGCAGAAAGAATTTATAATATAAGTAAAAATAATAATAATAATAAATATAGAAATAATAATAAATATAGAAATAATAATAAATATAGAAATAATAATAAATAAAAAAAATAAAAAATATAAAGCTAGCTTTTTTAAGATATATTAGAAGCCAATTATTTAGAATAGTTTGAATATAGAATAATATAAAAGAGAATTAATATAAGAGATTATAGAGAATATAGTAAATATAATAAATATAATAGAAGTAATTAAAATAATTATATAAAGCAAAAACGAATTATATAATATAATATAGTAAAAAGAACTTCTTATAGTAATAGAATTACTTATAATAGTACTATGGCTTAATAAAGGCCTTCTGAGGTTATATAATGGTTTTTAGCCTTTTAATAATATAATTAATAGAAGCCTTTGCAAAATAATGAGAATCTATAGGGATTAGCTCGCTTAGGAATGATTGGAACGTTCTATTACTGCCTGTTCCAGACCCCTGGAACGAATCGGCAGAAACCGATTGGTCCGGAATTTCGCCAAGCCTGATTCCAAACGACCACTGCAGCCGGGGCACCCGAATGAGTTGAAGCACACTATCCTGATATAGATATTGCACCAGAATGGTATACGTTTAGAATTCAATTTGAATTTGAGTTGGATATTATATAAATTATTCTTGAAGCTATTTGCTGGTGGGTTGCGGCGTGCTTTTGCGAGAGAAATGTTGTGGAGAAGGGAAAGAGGAGGCTCAAGAACAAAAGTCTGTAATTATTTATACCTCGAGGCCTTTTCGCGAACGTCTTTCCGCTTTTATAATGGAGAAAATTGATATCCATCTATATTTTGAAGAGCTAATGGACTAGAAGTCATTTGGCTTGGGTGCATTTGAAACTCGAGCAAATGCCTTGATGTCTGATTACCGCCCGCGAGAAAAGGGGCAGACTCGCTTACTTGAATTCGAACACTTCAAAATTTCAAGGTAAATATAACTTCTAATGTTATCTCTTTGGACCCATGTTAGGTAAAAGGCAGCAAGTTACAATAGTATTAACCCCAATAGATTGTAACCGACAGAATACTAAATACTTTGAAACGTACCCATCGAAATTCCAAGAGCAGGGGCTCACTATAGGGGGTTAACAGAGACAAATGCTCGATGCGACTTAAACCTTATATATTCCAAATCCAAGCTAGGAATTGGTATAATGTGCAACAATATCCTCAAACTCATGGACAATTCGCTTTAGGAAACTCTCCACGTGTATTCACTCAAGACGAAGAGTAGACAAGGCTTGGAATGTCTCGATGACCTTGGAAAGACTTGAATTATAATCTTGAAGTTCATCCCAAATGGCTGGTTATCGCTTCCCTCGCGGACAAGTATTATCCATAATAGTTAAACGTTAGAAGAACCATGGAGATCCTTCCTAGTAAGAGCTCGTTCGGCCAGACGCCTGCCCTTTTTTCCGACGAACGATCGCCGACCCATTTACTTGCCCGTACGTAGGGCAGGTACAGGGCATGTAAAGGGGGCATCACGTCTGTGCAGGGGCGTTCGGCCGGGCAAGTAAAAGGGTATTTAAAAAGGTATTAACTGGTGTTGAACTAGCTAAAGCAATATAGCTAGGGTCACGTGCTTGCAATGTAAACCAAGTAAAACGTACTGAATTGACTGCTGTTCTACAGTGGTAAGTAGCCCGTATATATAGCCCTGAACCCCCTAAGTCACATGTACTAAATCCCTATGCCAGCTGAACCGATTACAGCTATACAGGGTATTCCAGCCGTACATGGTATTCCAGCTATACAGGGTATTCCAGCTGGACAGGGTATTAAGCTAGTGCACAGCCCCATGGCGTTCGGTTCCAGGGCTTACTAAGCCTATTAGGGGCCTCAGGCCCCTAATTTCAACAACTGGCCCTATTAATTGGAGGCACGTGATTTAGAGAAAAAGAGCTAAGATATAATATTAATCTCTTTCTTACTCCTTATAATAATATTACTTTTTATATTCCGTATTTTCAAAATAACTTAAATATATTTTAATTTTATCTTACGTGAGTATTTATAGAGCCTCAAACTGGTGCGATTTTAGTAATTATTTAGCTCTAGCACGTGCAAATAACGCTAAAAGGGTAAGTGAAAGGGCAAATACGGACGTATAATTAGATATTTTCTCATTTCACGGGACTACGAAGGGCAGGCGTCAATTTGTATAAGAGCTAATGCGGGCAGGTAAAAGGGCAGGTGAAAGGGCAATTAAAAGGGCAATCGAGTTTTTATTGCTCCTGGCCGAACGCCATATTGCAGGGCAGGTACGGGGGCATCGCGGGCAATACGAGGGGCGGCGTCTGGCCGAGCGGCTCTAAGCTTAAACATTGCCTCAGCTGTTGCCTAGGTCACCAGCATTAAACCCATTATATACGCAGCGTGAGACCCACCTGCTATGAAGGCGTTCAAATGCATCATGAGACTGTGGAGCTATGAGCTCCTCTTGTATTTGCTGAAGCCGAGGGACCGCCGCTGCCCGATCCTGCGGTTCCCGAGCTGATACTTCCAGCACCCGTAGGAAGAAGTGAATATGAACTCCTTTGCGCTGACCCTGCAACTCCAGAAACGCCCTGATTTCCAGCACCAGTTATAGTGGCTAGAGACGGAAGATCAACCAATGTGATCGGGACGTCTTCCTTCGGATTCTTTCATCCCTTTCTATTCTGAGTCTCATACATTCTCTTCAACGATTGGAATCTCCCATCTTCTCGCCCCTCCGCCAAACCCTTCTCACCTCTCCACTTATTGATATCCCGCCTTGCAACTCCTTCAAACAACATCCCAACAACAAAGAGCACAATTCCGACGCTGGTAGAGACGAGGGTTACCCCGAAATCAAAATCCGTATATCCTGGAGGAACCTGTGCCCGCTGATTGTTGCACAAACGTGCTGTATCAGCATCTGTATACGTATGGCGCGATCTCTGGATCCAAAGGCCCAGCAGCGAATTCGATCCAGAGCTGCTTCTTGCAACGCTGCAAGTGAGATTGCGAACCGGTTCTCGACTTCGATGCGCCACTGGTTGAGGGGTAGGTTCACAGTCTGGAGTGGGTCGAACAGGAGTAGGCGGTGAAACAGAGTAGATGTCACCCTATTTCCTCAAACGTAAGAGTGAAATAAGTATTTGAGTGAACCCACTTTGCTTGAAATGTTTCCTTTGATCAGCTCGGCGCTCGAAGGTTTAATCCGATAATCGAAGACAGTCAATCATCTCGCTCAAGGCATCCCAAACATCGGTGTCATGGATGACATTGCAGTCCTGCAGACCGAGGCCAGGCCTGATGGGGAGCATATCTTGGCGAAGCTCATCTTGGAGTGACAGGGAAAATGCAAGGTGCTGTGAGGAATATCAAGAAAAGTATTCGCCATTGATCTTATAGTGCGCGACTCGGAGATGGAGGAGGGAACGGGGAGAGCATAAGACCATGAGGCGAGACTCAGCTCGTGAGATGAGACAGGGAACTATGAAATGTTTCTGGAAGACGCAGAAATGTTTCGCGAATGAGATGCACACCCCCCTCCACTGGCCTCCCCAACCCCTGGACAAACATGACTCGGTCCCTGATGATCAGTGCTGCACTGCTGCTGCGCCCCATCCCTGCATTGATCATGCTGCCATCGTCCCAAAACTGTCGGCCGCCAGAGCGCTAGAGGGCCTGGGCTCAGAATCCAAATTCTGCATTTATCCTCTTCTTCAGCTGAGCATCAGCTCCCTTCTCTTTCTTCACGCTCTTTTGCGCGAACACACGCGTTTTTCTCCCTTTGCGCCATCGAGAACTATTCACCAGAGTTGCGCCATTCATTTATATCCAACCTTCCCCTGGTGGTAAGAGGATTTGGGCATTCTCGTCGTGGTGGTCCGGCCGTTGAATTTCCGGCGCGTGGGACATTTCCGGCCATTGTTATTTGCCCGAGGGCGTTTCTCATTCACAGCGGTGGCTGCAAAACGTATGTTTTAACTATTTCATCTTCTTTCAACCACGATGGACATCTTTCTCCTCCGAATTTGCCGAGGAGTTTGTACGCAATGGACTCCTGTTGTATGGTTGGCAAGCAGTCGAAATGCACGAACATACACCTCGGCCTTCAGCTTGCGCAGACAACGACGGTCTCTCTCGTCATGCAGCAAATCGGAAACGCACGCCAATTGGTACCGCAGTTGGTTCGCAGGCAGTGTTGATTATCTAAGGCGCCGTCAAACCTCGGCGGGTTCCAAAACAACTTTGCAAATCTTCGCAGCATCTAATTACACAGGGATCTGGATTTGAAGGTGTCGTACAATTCAGAAGTAGAGCTAACTTTCCCAACGATAGGACGATTCTTCTACGACATCTAGACAAATCGAAGTTGTACTTGTCGAAGAATATGCAGAGCACCTCGAACCGCAGCCTGTCAGGGATGACCCGGTATGGCTTGGCAAGGCTGATCTCCACCTTCCTCATTGTACGCCACCAAACGTTGTAGGCACTTGGTCGCTGAACTGCGGAAGCTCGCCAACTGGATTGTCACGTACCCGCCGGCTGAATATATAGAATGGCACTCAAAATGGCAGCTATTCTGCCCTCTACCTGGCAGAAGTTGACTCTTTTCAAAGGTCGACATCCCGTCCTCTTTTGGGCTTGCTTCACAATAATCTTAATCCTAATGTTTGTGCCTGCTATTGTTCTGGGACTATTCTTCCGACTTGAAAAGAGGACGGGTGCTGGTAATGTTACCTTGACTGTCGATTTGGGATACTCCAAGTACCAGGGAGCATACGCGGCCAACGGCGTCAGTCAATGGTTCGGGATTAGATATGCTGCCCCTCCAGTTGGGGACCTCCGTTTCAGGGCTGCGGCCGACCCTCTTGTGAATGACACTGTTCAAATTGCTGATACTGTATGTTGTCCTACCTTGGTCAGAAAATGCTCACTACTGACCAAACTCAGCATGGACCATCATGTCACTTCTCCCCCTCAGCGAGTTCCAATCCAAATCATTCCGAAGATTGCCTTTTTCTCGATGTTTACGCACCTACCCAAAATATGACAGCGATACTTCATCCTGTTTTCGTTTACTTCCAAGGTGGCGGATTCAACTCGCTCTCCAACCAGAATTTGGATGGCAACAGTCTGATCAGTGCCGGAGACCACGACATTGTCATTGTTACTTTCAACTATCGTGTTGGGGTCCAGGGTTTTCTTACTAGCCAGGAAGTCAAAGCAAATGGCGATCTCAATGTTGGATTGTTGGATCAAAGAAAGGTTCTCGAATGGATTCAACAATACATACACTTGGTACGTTCCTCCGAACTCTTCTGCTAGATTACTAACAGGGTATAGTTTGGAGGTAATCCAAAGCATGTGACCATCGGCGGGGACTCAGCTGGCGGTGCCTCCGTGGATCTTCACCTCTCAGCATACGGTGGACGAGATGATGGTCTTTTCCACGCAGCAGCAGCCGAGAGTCAATCTTTCGGAGCTCTATTAACAGTCAACGAGGCCCAATACCAATACGATGGACTTGTCCAACGTGTTGGGTGCAGCAACGACACGGATACTTTGCAATGCTTGCGGAATACGGACATTGCTGTCATTTCCAAGAATAACATCAACATTCCCACGCCCGGAGGTGCGGGCGGGAACCCGATTTTCATGTGGTCGCCTGTCATTGACGAGACCTTCATTGTGGATTATACCTACAACCTTTACTCCCAAGGGAAATTTGTCAAGGTTCCCTCCATCTTTGGGTATGTTATTTGCTTTCTATCACATGCCAATACCTGACAGTGAGCAGTGATGACACAAATGAAGGCACAATCTGGACCCCAAGTAGCCTCAATTCAAGCACAGCCATGGACAACTTTCTGAAAAATCAATTTGTCAACCTCACCCAAACCGATCTCGAGCAAATCAACTCATATTACCCCGCCGTCCAGCAATTTCCGGGGAAAGGAGCTTTCTGGCGAGCAGCTGCAAATGCGTATGGTGAGATGCGTTATACATGTCCCGGCATCTACATCAGCACCACGATTAGCACGCATGGTCAGCCCGCCAGTTATAACTACCGGTATGTGCAATTTCACCAGTGTGCCTTCAAGATTACTGACATCAGCAAAGCTGGGACGTGCTCTCCACGCGAAACGCTCAGAACGGCCTAGGCGTCCCCCACGTCTCCGAACTCTCCTCCATCTGGGGCTCCTCCGACCCACCAGGCGACGCGCTCATACCCACAATCCAGGCGTACTGGACCTCCTTCATCCGCACCAAGAATCCGAATACCTACAAACTGAAGTCCGCCCCGGAGTGGGCGAAGTTTGACGCCACAGGCATGGAGAGGATACACATCCCGAATGATCCGACAAATGTTACTATAGAGACTGTTCCGGGGGATCAGCGAGCTAGATGTGCGTTCCTCAATAGCATAGGTGCTAGCATAAATCAATAGATACCGGGTTCTAGTCACATGATAATCTAACGACATCCTACTTTGAAACTCAAAACTGCATGATATCCGTTTATGTGTTTGCGAAGTGGTTATTTCTGGATACCCATGTCTTATCTACGCCTTTGCCATGCTTTGCTGCTGGTTGAGATCTCCCTCACTTGGGCTCGGTTGGAACACCCCACCCGTTTCTTTACTTTCGTCCCCTATTGTGTAATCAGCTTTATCTTTATTCTCCCTCAGCTCCCCACCCTCCTCTTACCATCAATAAACTTCCTAGTCCCCATCCTCGCGGGCTCAGTTCCCCACCATACCGCACTCGTCCCAAGCCCACACACATACCTCGCAAAGAAACGACTCTCGGTCTCTTTCCGAGGCTGCATAGGCTGTTAAAACAATCCACAGTAGTATGTCTCCCAGTGTAGCGAGTCCATACCGCGTCATTTGTGGTATATTCGAGGCATTGAGGTAGTGATCTGGCTGCTGTATGATTGCAGATGGAATTGAAGGGTAGGGAAACCAGTGGTGGTGGTGAAAATATTGCGGCGTAGGTAATTGCCGTGTTGTGGATGGTCCTTGAGAGGGTATTCGAGAACGGAATGGTTTCTGGGAGAGGATATGAGGTGAGCGTATCCTTTGGTCAGTTCCCGCATTTGCTGTAAACCGTTCATGTGGAATGTCAACTCGTGGACATTCCCTCTAGAGACCCACTTAATAATCAGATAATCAGGACGTGTTTCACAAAGCCCCCAAGATATCGGTGATCCCTGTTCACTCAACTCTAGCCTATCACGCAGAGGATAGCCCTAATAGTAGTTTCAGTTGTTGCAGTATAGCTGTGCGAAAAATCCCTATTAAACTCATTTATCTAATGGCCCCCCCTTTAATCCGGAAGTAAATCCGAGCTAGTAAAATCATTTTGTTTTTTTTATTATTTAATCTTTATAATAATTTACTTATATATGATTTTTTTTCAACTTTTAATGGTTTTAATAAAAGAAGATATTTTATGTTATTAATAAAATTTAATAATAATAATAAAATTAATTTTATTAAAATTAATAATGAAATTAGTAATGAAATTAATAAAAATTCTATAAATTTATTTTCTATATAATAGTTATATTAAAACGAGTTTTATTTTAAAACATAAAATAAATTAATTAATTAATAGTTCTAAATATAATTATAATTAAAAATTAAAAGTTTAATAATATTATTTCAAAATTAATATAATAAATAGTATTTATAATATGGGATAATAAATATGCGAGTGAAATATAAATGAAATAAATATTAATTAGTTTATTATAAAGAAAGAAGAAGAGTAAAGTAATATATATATTTAAACTAAATGCTTCGGGCGTTACATGACCGCGCCAAGTAACCTCCCCACTATTCTAATACCTTACGATTTTGGCATTGATACCGGAAATTAGGTATTATTACCAAGCCTGGACCATACAGCGAGGAATCCTATTCAACGTAAATTGGGTCTTTGACACTGCCTTGAATAGAGAACCCCTCCAAACTCGCCGCGGTATGGAGATACACACACGTTTTATAAGGGATCTTTGCAAGAGGAGTGACAACGAATATATTGGACGATAACCAAGATGTTGAGGCCCATATCTCGACTGACTGTCAGATGATCAAAACCACACATGTATTGTCGTCAGTATATGTTCAATTAGGTTGTCGAGCTTTCCATCTTTACCCAGGAATGGTATAACATCCAAAATAATCTCCAAAGGTTGTCATCCTAATAGCTCTGTTTTTGAAACCGAGAAGTATCAAAATTTTGACTTCCAGGTAAAGTGACCAAGTAATCGCGGACCAGAAATGTAAGTTAACGACTAGATTTGTTCTCTCTAAGTCTCTTTGACGTTGCAATCAAGACGCGGCGAGGTCGTTCTGGCATTCCGGCGAGCCGTCAGATATCAGGTTAGCTGAACTCCCTCTCGGTTCTCAATTGTACCGGAAGATGGCAGTACAATGGCCGGAACACGCTTCGAGCTTGAGACGTGGGATGTGGTGCAGGCAATAGCCGGATCGAATGGGAAAAGACCGGGAAGGACCTCATTCATGGGTGCTCCGTCACCATCTTGTGCTGTCTCCGAAGGCAATATTCCAGGCTAAGATAGCACGAAAGGGTTGTTAATTCAAGAATCGAAACTGTCCTTACTTTTAGCATGAGAAGCAGATCCAATATAATAGGGAGGATTCGCTACAACCAGTTGCCTTCATGTGTGTTATCGGGGATGGTGGACATCTTCATAAGGAATCTGGGAGGAGGAGGAGCAACGTCCGTTTCCCCGTCATCCATATCCTCTGCATCTGCGTCAGCCGCGTAAGGATTTGTTATCGGCTCCTGCATCATGCATGCATCGTTTTCAGCGGTGCTTGGGCTTCCTGCACGAGCTATGGCATTCCTATCTTTCACTCCTTGAAGTTCTTGATACCACGTCTTCATTTTGCTCTCAGTTGGGAACTTCATGATGATGTTGTAAACATCGGAATCTTCTTTCCACCATATTTGGCAAGTGTATGATCCTGAAAATGGTCAGCTGGCGGGTTCTCGCGGCTTGGATATGTCGAGACGCACCCGACTTAGCAGCGTATATAATACTAGTGATAATTCTGGCCACGATTCTTCCTTTTATTTGTGTAATAGTTCTGGCATCCGGTTCCGTATTCTTGGCCCATCTAAAAGTAGACCTCCGGGGTCGCGAAGTGTCCACAAAAAACATGAGGATTCTTTCATAGAGATAGGCTCGATACTTTGAATGGCGTTAACGTTTAACAGATCGTGACTTCTGGCTATTTGCTGGGCTTTGCACATACTGTTTCTGCAGTGCCGTATGTACCGGTCACGACACTCACGAAACCGAACTGCAAGAGGTCGCCAAATTCCTTAACGTTGTAACCCTTCCAATCTTTGACTCGCGCTACCAAATATGCTTGTGCTTCTCGAAGCTCTTGACATTTCATAGCCGCATTAATGTCTCGTAAAGCATTTTGGAGAGCTTCGATACCAGCTGATACATCAAACATCTGGGAGCGAGAAAGCCCTCCCTGTCGGTGAAGCTCCTGGTTGGGTTTAGCAAATTGTTCGTGAAAGATGGAGGTGCAGAGTAAGGGCCATAAAGAAAGAGAGGGAGAGGGAGGAAAAGGGGGCGTACCTGAAGAAATCCGGAGTATTTTGGCAGGCGTTGGGAGGGAAGGAAGAGCAAGCGAAGGGAATCTCTAAGAATGGAGTGTAAGTAGTTATCTTCCATCCCCTGCCGCTCTGATAAAACGGCCCTGATGTGTTCCCTTGCCTCCTTCTCGCCGGTGATGAAGTTGGCGTATAAGGGCGACATGCGGGACCAGTCGTCAAAATGAACAGCCCACATCTGCTGGTCCGAAGGTTTGCGCGCTGTCATCTCCATTCTAAGGAGGAATCGCCTCTGCCCGTCAACTATTGGATCCAACGAGGCAAGAATTGGATGCAGGATATCGTTACGTAAAGCATCCTCCGACTCAATTTTCGTCTTGAGCTCGAGAAGGCCTTCCAGGCTGGAAAGGTAGGATCGGTCATCAACTAGGAATCCCTCAAGTATTGCGTCTCTAGGAGTAAGAGGATTGGTTAGTAATCCCTCTCTTTCCGGATGAATGGTCGCGAGATCGACAGGCTCTATTTCCCCACTATTCGTGAGAATGTCGAGCAGTCGTGTAACAACTCTGACAACCTATATAATGCAATCAGAACCGTAACAACAATAGCGGACAGAAAATATGACTCTCACATTGACAAATCCTGTTGAATTGCTCCCCATCAAGTCACCTATTGAGAAGCACTCATCGGGCTGAAAGCCAAGATCGTGAATGCATGCCTCGATAAACTTATACGTTGCCACTTTTGGCAATTTCTGTGAATCAATGTACCAAAGCTCGGTGAGATAATCGAGATTACCAAGCCCTGGGACTCTCTCTAAAAGCATCAGCAAAGGCACACCTCGTCTGAAAAACGTGATTAGAAGCGACAATGGATCGTGGTCCTCTCCTTCGTCCCTTAACTTTGCAAAAATTTCAGGAAATCCAGGGATTTTAGTCAGCCGCAACTCTACCTCAACACATCCTTGGTACAATGATCTCACGCGAGGAGAGTGTGAGGTTGGAGTGGTGTCTAATACTATCTGTGGTCCCGCTAGTCCGTAGTGCTGTGCATTTTCGATTTCTTCAGGGTATAGGGGCAGTGCGATTGCGGAGATAATTGAAATATCACTAAGACTGAGGCCCGAGAAGATGGACCAGGCGTTTGTGTGTGCGATAGAACTCCGGAAGGAGAAGTCCATGGTATCTCGCTGTGCCCTCCGATAAACCCTGGAGGCCCCAAGATCGTTCTCGAAGTCGAAGTCGGACACCTCCTTGCGGTCTGGGGGTGTCGAGAGCTGCGAGGTGTTGTTGGTTCTGGCAATTGTGCTATCTGTGCTCTTGATATTAGGTTCCTCCCCGATGGAGTTACCTTCACTGATGCCGTGGTAGGTATTGAAAGAACGGCTCTGTCGCTTAGAGATAAGACTGCGAACTTCAAAGGCGTCCTCCAAATTCATCAATCGCCGAGTCAAACAATGGTTACTCTCCAAGAGAGCAGCAACATTCTGAGACAGTTCCTGCTGGTGCTCTGCCGCACGGAGATCGGAATCACTATTGAAGTTAGCCGGGTTATCAAAATGGGATTGACCCTCGATGAAGAATACTTGCCTCTGGAGAATATTTAACATCAAAGAGATGGAGGCTTTGAACCCCTGCAATCTTGTGAAGAACGCCACAAAGACACTCTCCTTCCTCGCCCATTGCAGGCGCGACTGCAGCGGCAGGCGCGGACTGGTCGTCTCGGCAGAAGGGAGCGAGGGCAGAGTTGCTTCCAGCTCGGACAGCAGAAGCACTCCATCTGTGAAAACGGCGATGAGCTGGTCAATTGTGATGAGCGCCGCACGCCTCGCGGGGATAGAGGCAAGATCATTGGTGAGGCTTTCTATCGCAATGAGGATAGTGCGGGTGTATACCACCTCGGAGTGGACTTGGGACACAATCTTTGGCGTGTCCCTTGCGGCTGAGACGTAGGGAGCCAAATAACGGGCCACCAGCGCTGTGGCCTTGAGGAGACCGAGGATTGACGTGTCAATAGTCAAAAGATCCATAGCATATACAGCTTTGGGGAAATGATGCGGAAGGAGAGAGGAGAGGAGAGAAGAAGAGACTACTCCAGCCGCCGACGAGGTTACACAGTTTCAGCCTCGCGATAGCCCAATGTAGTTAGGTTCGAAAACAGCGGTGAGACAGAGCGCTACTCCGATTGGTCCATGACATCTATATGGCGCGATTAGAGGCAAGATTTTGCCTTGTCAAGGCGAAGCTTTTGTTTACGCGAAATGGCTGGCATCCGCTAAACAAGGGGGTCTCGCTTGGCTAACACAATAATATCATAGTAGTCTCTATTGTATCGGCAGCACCATCCAGCAATTGGAAAAAGATGGCTATGAGATTCTGCAGATGTCTCCAAAGAAGTAAGGAGATATCTGCTTGAGGTTGATAAAACCCTGCCCGTTATCAACGGTTCCTCAATTCGAATTAACCATTTCTATTTTAAGGTGGGCTTCACTCTCTTACCTTTCGGCACGCTTCAAATGTTGATCAAATAGGTAAATAGTTTTGTCAATCCTGTGAAAGTTGAAGTCTAATGATCAATCCACAGGTCCACAGCTCAAATATCACCAATGCTTTCGTCTCAGGGATGAAGGAAGACCTCACACTTGTCGGAAATTAATATAATTATATCGTCGTTTCATGGATAGTAGTCTATGTTATTGGACAATGGGTATGCATATCCTCACTTCAGGTCAAGCTAGGCTCGGCACTCACACTGGTTTAACGCAGCCCTCGAACTTCATCCTGACTCCTGTTCCCGGTTATATCTGGATACCTTTCCTTGAAATCGGTTGGACAACTTGGACAGTGTTCACGTTCAATCTCGCAGGTGCAAAGACGTACCACTAAATGCTTGCACTTCGCTTGGTGGTTTGTCTCTTCGAAGCAGGTCACCGGCCAGCTCTTTACTATATCCTTGGCAATTGGTAATCTCACAAGAAACGTGAGCTTGGAAAGCGCAATGGAAGTTTGCAATCAGCGGTGTCAATCGCACTATTCTTCAGTCGACTCTTGCAAGCCCGAATCTACACTTTTCTTAATGGTCACGCGGGTCTTGCTGGTTGGGGATGGCTATTTCGTGAGCTTGCTCTGTACTATCCATGTGGCGATATTCGATAGTTTCTTACTCGGTGCTACAGTCATCAATAGCGTCATTTCTCTCCCAATAGCCATCCTCGCCTATTTCTTCTTGCCTGCACCCCGGATATAGCCAAGCCTAATTGGCTGTTCTCCGAACGTGTAATTAACAAAATCTTCCTACGAACAAAGAGAAGTAACTTACTCTCTTCTTTTTTCATGTAGGAAATCGAACTTACTAAGCAGAGATTTTCAAGAATGGGCCGTGTTCCCGAAGGAAAGCCGTACACGGGCAAGACTGCACTTGGTTATTTCACCAGCTGGAAAACGCTTTTCTTCACACTCATCTTCAGTAAGCTCCGTCTTCCCCTCAGGCATAGGCACTTTCATACCCCACTTGGCCAGGCTGGGAGGGCTGGTGCGTTCTGCATGGTCGCGAAGGAGAAAGTTGTTGGCAAAGCCAAGGTTCTTCTTCGGCGCGAACGTCCGATCGGTGCCTCTCGAACGAGCAGTTCACGGGGTTTGTAAACGTTCCAGTACCTGGCCCGCGGGTGCCAAGGTATTGTCTGGCGGAAGTGCGTCCACATATGCCGCTGCAGCACTGGAGTGAAGACTCGAATAGGACTTCCATGGAGACTAGTTCTGCAAGGGGGATTTCTGAGATCCATTTGGCGAAAACCTACAACATACCGAAGATACCTATCAGCATCCTTCAAACCCTCTGGGAAATCGTTACCCTCTATCCCCTTGTCCGATGAGACATGTCCCGCGGTGAACAGATTTCTGTGTTCGGATATGGAGCTTTTGGTCTAACCGGTGCCCCGTGTGCTATCATGAGCATTGTCAACCTAGCAACTAATCTGGTTCGTTCGGAGTACAGGCTGTGGACCTCGTCCATTGCTATCAGCTGGATTCTTGGTTGGCTGATTGTTGGATCTGTGTCGTTGCGTGTTCGTATTTCAATCATACGAGGAGGCGTTTGGACCTACAGTCGGTCCGATCCAAAAGCGACAAAAAAAAATAAAAACCACCACAATACTAATTGATATAAATCGTATTAATTAAAACTATACTATATACTATAGGAATTAATTCTATGTTCTCAAAATTATAATATCTTTATTATTAAGGAAGTTATAATGCACGTGATTAAGCGAGCAAATATTTTTGCGTTTTATATAGTCGTTTTTTTACTTTGGTTATCACGTGACTGCCCCCCTCAATTAACCGCTCTTCTATAATTATATTAATATCTTAATAACCACAAACCCAATTCAGTGCCCCTTTTATATACTTCCAATAGCTACCTCTGTGAGCCTTCAGAAACGCAAGCGAGCTAATTCGACTCTTGATTCAATTACAGTTCTTACCATAGCTAAAGAAGCTACAATCCAAGCATCTATTAACGAACGGCATGGGAAACCCTCTAATATAGAGGACGATTCTGATAAATCAGATATTAAACAAAACAATGAAGTAAAGCTTGAAGATTCGACTCTCTTTTGGGCTCAGCGAAAGCTTATTATTAGTAGTAATAAGACGATTATTTTAGAGAAGCCTACATTCGCATAGCGAGAGCAAAGACTCACAGAGCAGGCTAGTAAGTTTCTTATCTTATTTTATTATAATATAAGTATACTAATATTATTTCTAGCTTCCAGAGGCTCGTATATTCCCAAATTAATAAAGGAATTAGTAAAGCTATTGAGAACTTAATAAAAACATATATATGATTAGAGGGTAAAAGATGCTCAAGTTATAGAGCAATCTAGTAGGCTTAAGACTCCTATAATTATACTATCTTTTAAATAAAAGAAGCTATAATTCGATATTATTAGGAGATTAATTAATATCCCTAGGGATATGTAATTAAGGGAAGAGCAAAGGCTTAAAGATAAAAACAATGGAATAAACGAGCTACTTTTGGATACCCTTATTAGAAACGCTTGCGGAAATAATAAAGCTCTAGATATACGAATAACTTACTAAGAAGTCCTTAATAATATGGATATTAAGCTAGCTTAAACCAAAGAGCTATATACTCTATATATAATTACTAATTTATACTTACTTTAGTAATATACCTAATAGCTTCTAAAGCTAGGGCAATATTGACTTGAAAGGGTTAATATATTACTCTTAGTAGCTTCTAGTAATTACTGCTTAAATAATAGAAAGATACTAGCTCGGTGAATTAGGGGGCTATTTAATTACTATTAATAGTGGTATGGCATTTCCCAAGAAACTAGGGGTAATAAAAGAGAGGGTGCCTCTTATCTGGATAACAAGAATATTTTTTTAGCCTGCCATACTTGGTTAATTAATTAAGAGTTTGGAATAATATTACTAAACGATTTCCTAAATATTATTAATTAGGAGATTTTACCTCGATTATTATTAATAATAAAAAAGCTTATTGCCTGCAGTATAGCTTACTTATGGCTCCCTAGGCTCGGCTTTTATTACTATAAGACTAAGAAAGGGCTTTATATAGATAGATATAAACGCCCTAATATAATTAAGTATTATTAAGAGATATTTTTACCCTTAATAAAGGAGCTTTTATTATATATAGTTTAATACGAGGAGAATAAAGCTAGTACGTAGTATATAATTTAACCTTTATTTCTAATTAGAGTTTAGGTATATATAATATACTTCTATAATAAGAGCTATTTCTATGGATTTGACTATAAAAAGAGCCTCTGGCTAGTAGATAATTAGCAAAAAATGCCCGGAAAGAGCAAAGGGAGGCTAATTCACGATTCTGAATTTATAGGCCCTAAGGGGCGTATTAGGGTACTAAATAATAAAGGCATTTTTATCCCGGATAATCCTAATTTGGATATCTGTCAAATTATATATCCAGGCTTAAATGGGGACCCCTAGTGGGATATAAAACAGCTACTAGTATAGATTACTAGGACGCTCGATATATTTAAACAGAAGTACCCAAACTATATAGCTATTCTAATATTTGATTAGTCTTCTGTATACGCTTCGCATGGCGAAGGTGCACTAAATGCCTTTAGTATAAATATGGGATTAGGGGGGATTAAAAAGGGTAATATTAAGGCCTATGGAAGGGATACGTACTTTCCACCAGAGTATACGATTCCGGGATTACAGGGTACTATTCAAGTCCTTTAGTAACTTAATTTGAATAGAGAAAGAGAGCCTAAGGGCGTAGAACAGATTCTTATTAAGCGAGGTTATAATATCCCTGGCTTAAGATTTAAGTATCTAAAGGGTACTAAGTATACTGCACCCCTTGAATACCCTCCTGCTATCGAATAAACGTACTATTTAGCTCGTATACTATTGAATTACCAAGACTTCTTTAAAGAGAAGTCCCAAGTTAAAGAGCTTATTACAGATCGGGGATATAAGGCTGTGTTTTTACCGAAGTTCCACTGCGAAATCAACCTAATCGAGATGTACTGGGGGTATAGCAAAACTCGATATTATTAAGTAAAGAAGACTAGCTTCCCAGATGCCAAGATTAAGGTAGTAGAGGCACTTGAAGCTTGTTCGATTAAGACTATACGGAGGTTTTATAACCGTACGTTTTACTAGATAGATGCATATCGGAAGGGATTAAGTATTAAACAAGCTACTTAGTGTATACGGAAGCAAAAACGCCATAGAATAATATCTAAAAAGGTAATGGATAAATGGGATAATATGCAAAAGTAAGGGAAAGAAGGTAGCTAAGTAATAAGTAAGGTTTATAGATTTAGTTCGGCCAAAAATTAGCTTAAAACCTGTATAATTAGGGACCTACTATATATATAATATATATAGTACCAGAAAAAGCTATATTTAGTATTTAGGAAGGCTTACTTGAGCTTATAGGACTTAATTATTATTATTATATTAATAATAAGGCTGGTGAGATGCCGTAATCTCCCCCTGAAGCCCGGGCTCACGTGACCTTAGCGAGCAAATATTTTTGCGTTTTGTATGGGGAAAAATCAAAAAAGTAAAAAGGGTCCGTGTACTTTAAGCCTCGATTATTAATGAACTATAAATTATATTAAAAATCTAATTAATAGGTATTTTTCGCCTGGTTCTATTCTATAATCGTATCACTTAGTATAAATTAATTAGGGTTGTGGTTAAAAAGTTATTATGGGCGTAAAAGAGCGACCGTTTTGTCGCTTTTGGATCGGACCGACTGTATATGAAAAGGTATTCTCGTTCTTCCACTTTGGATTCCAGCTATCGGCGGCTTGGTTGTGGTTGGGCAGATGCTGAAAGCCTTTGGGATTTATACGTCATTGGATTGATAGTTGAGCAGTTGACTTGTTCACATCGAAGGCAAGGGCTGGAGCGAAGGTTAGGGGAATGACAAGTTGCTTTCTGAACAAGAATTGACAGAATCTCGTGCATTAGCCTGAAAATTCTAGATCAAAAGGGAAACAAGTATTGGGTCACAATAGAAACCCCCCCAACGCAAAACGCACAACTAATCTCCTTTCTTCCTCTTAAACTCCCCTGTTCTCATCGCCACACTCACCTCGCTCTCCCGGCCACTTCAATATGACATCCAACTGCATCCTCACCGTTCCCGAGTACACAAGCCCAAGCCCCACGAAGGGGGAGGAGCCGAGGTTCTCACCGAGCTCGGAGCAAATCCCGACGCTAGAGTCCAGCCAACTGCAGGAACATGGGAAGGGAACCCTACCACCCACTGAGGTGGCCTATGAGACGTATTTACCAGAGCTATCTGGAGACGAGAGACAAAGGATCAAGCGGTGTTGGAGAGGGATATAGGTTAACAGACAAACGGGAATATATCTTTCCCACCAGGAGAGAAAGAGAATGAAAGTTTCAGCCAATATATTCCCTTCCAAACTCTTCAAATCCGGTCGCCGTGGTAGCTGTGTATATCTATCCAATCTCACAGAGAGGACTAGATAACAAACTCGACATCAATCAATATAAACACCCCTCGCAAACCTAACCATGCCTTCTCCCCACTCAATCACGGTCCGGCGGTGCGCCACTGGAAAGCCTTGCACGAAGTATTGGCCATCTAGGCCACAGAGCATGCCTGCGTTTCGTAAGTACGTGTCTCGTTATCACTGCTCATCCCGTTATGAAATCGAGGTTATATCTTTCGTCGTGTCGTTGTCATCGTCACTTGGAGCTGTCCGTAGTTCAGATTGGGGCCGCGTCGTCGTAGGTTTTGGTAGTTTCAGGGTTCCCAAGCAGTGAACACAATGGCATTACCTTCTTTCCCGCTCTGCAACTCTTCGCTCCGCTCAACCATGAGCAATAACCTAGTTGTTCTAACCAGTAACTCTATTCCCCGTTAGACTTCTTCCGCCTTCCGCCTAATAAAACAGATGGGGCAACACACCTTCATAAAACAATGTATAGCTAACGTCCCTCTCCTCGCCAGCCCTGAACGGCGGGCCCACAGGTACCGCGTCCCTCTCCACAACCTTCACCCTCAACCCCACGGTTTTCTTAGAATCCGCCCACAATATATCCCCATTCCCACCGCCCTCGCACTTTGCCTGCTCGGCGAGCCAATCTCTCCACACCCTAAGTATCCCTTCACCCACGCTGACGCACGAATGAAAGAGTCCGCGTCGAGGACTACCTTTCACCAAGTTGACGCGCGTGCAGAGTTGGCTGAAGAGCTCGTGGGATTCAAGGAGGATGTCTTGGGATACGAGCTTATCTTCTTTCCCCTTGTTGTCTTCGGGGTCGTTTGAGGGCGAGGGCTGGGGCGCAGCTGGGATTGGAACAACCCAGCCTGCGCCGTCTGCGAGGCCGGTTCGGAATACTGACCGATCTGAAGAGTGCTTTAGGGGGCGGAAGGAGGTGTAGAGATCTGCCAGGTCAGAGAGGGAGGATGAGAGTTGTTCGGGGCTTGAGTTAAGTGGTTTCGTGGAAAGACTCTCGCAAATGGAATATCCCTCGCCTCTATTCGATGTGTGAAAGGCTTCTAGGAGTAGTTGATGACCTTTCAATGCCCCAGTTTCGAATATGCGGTAATGGAGAATGAGGAGGATGAGGTCGTGGATGCGGTGGGAGGTGGTGGTGAGGGGTAGAAGTTGGAGTGCTGGAAAATAGGAAAGGATTGAGATCAGGATCTGCCAATTGGTTTGTAGTTAGCAAATTGGATTTCCTGAGTCTTGAGGGAATAACATACCTCGTTGGGCAGCGAGTCAATTGAGGTGGAAGTAACCACCATGTTGTCAACTTTCTTTCAAATCAATGGAGTAGAGAAAAACAAAGACACAACGCCACCCTTCCCAGACTCTGGGATAGGAAGAAGGTCATATATATATACGAAACGCCTTGGCATAATCAGCCGGTCTTTACTCAGACTCGAAAAACCGAGACAAGCCTGTCGGTCAGCTTGGATCAGTCGACGAGGCTGCGAATTACAACATACCGGGTTTCTTTTTTTGCCTCGCGGCCGAAGTCTCGTTCATTTGGATATACCACTGGTCGAGAACCCGACAAATTGCGACACCAAGAACCGGGGGTGGGTCGTGGCTGACTGTCAGACGGGAAATGGCTTGCGCGGGAGACCGTGTCGCACAATCCGGGATCTCACGCCTTACGGAATCAGCTCGGCGCAGCCTAGACGATGTGGCTTCCTGAATGGGAAAAATGGATTATGCAAGTACAATATAACGAGAGCGACATCGAAGTGGCGAGAGCCGACTCAGGGCCAGAAAGAATGATGAGATGAGATGAGATGAGATGAGATGTCCGGTGCCGCGCCGGCGATGTTGCGATTCTTTCGATAAGGATCCTGCCAAATGCGGCGTCGAACCCCTGCGGCCGTCTTGTCTCCGAATACTGTTCGCGGTCACGTGAATAGGCCCCCCTGTTGGTTGTATTCGTGAATGTGGAGTGATTCGACTATATCCTGGAGGATTTGGAGGAGTTTGCCGATGCAATAACCTATACAAAGCAGATGAGAAAAGCATTAGCATAAGAAGGAAACCCATCTGCTCGACTCTCGCCGTCACTAATCCATCCATCCAAGCCCCCGGAGCTGTTGGATCTCCCGCATAAAATCAAATGCACATGCAAAACAAAACCTTCGAAAATCAGGATCCGTGATGAAAACTTCGTGTTTACACTTCTTACAGCGTCTCAGGCTGCATCTCCGGAGATCGTGGAGACGGAGGGAACTGACAAAAGGTATGTATAAGGGGGAGAGAAACATCAAGGCAAACGCAGATGTCTCAGCAGGTGGCCGCAGGACGCAGCGACAAGCTCTTTCCTTTATAAAACTCCTGTTGTCAACACTTCGAGACCTGTCCAATTCGGAGAGCTGCAGTGAGATCCGGCAACGGTTCAATGAGGAAATGGCGTGGAACAACGGCACGGGGTGACTGGGAGAATGACTCCACAGGGGATAGAGGCTTCCTCCATTAAACAACGAAGCACACTTGAAGGTATAACACTGGAGGGCCAGTGAACGAGGCCGAGTCTCGGGCATTACATACAAAGTGAAGTCAATACGCGCTGGCGTGAGGACGACGTGTTGGCCTGAGGTCTGGCTGGCTGTGACAGGGTGTAAGATCGTGGCGAATGAGGACACTACCGCAAACGGAGACTCCGGATCTCTCAAACGGATGTCTTGCCCCAACACGCTAAAGGTGCAAACCCAAGCCACAAGAGTTTACTGAAACGTTGGAAGATCTTTGTTCGTAGGGAGGAAGAAATGAATCCATTCTAACACCCATGCAAACCTAATGCCCTAGCGGGGTCGATCCTTGGCACGTGACGCGGTTTGTTGACCAACTTCCAATGCTCACCAGACTCAAACCTCCCATGACCAACGCAGGAACCAATCGAACACTCATCGGCCTTCTTTGAAAGAGTTTGGGGTCCCGGCCTATTTCTGTGCTCCCTCATCCCCGTGCGATCTTTCCTCACTCTCGTTCAACATCCAACGTCAAGCTCGCAGTTCCACACATCTACGATTGTATCGCCTCGCGGGTTTGAACAACATGGCAGAGAACAGGGAAACGAAGCATGCAAATGGCACCGCGGGTACCTCTCATAGCGACCTCCTGTGCAACGTAGCTGACAAAAGTTCCGTAGCACCCGGCATCCTTACCGCAAACGCTACCCAAGGACCATGGAGTGTCGACGCCGTTGTAGCGAATATCCCAGGCGGACCACCAGAGACGGACTCCTCGTCCCCAGTGCCATTCTTCCACATGCTGGAGCGTTTAAAGACTACAAAGCGTGAGGGATGGCGACGGTTTGGGATCAAGCAGTACATTTTCCTCCGTTCTCCTCTCCCAATGTTTCTTCTAACTAACTTCCCCACAGCGGCGAATCGATAGCAGACCACATGTACCGCATGTCCCTGATCTGCATGTTTGCTCCCCCATCCCTCTCATCGAAACTCAATATCCCGCATTGCTCGAAGATGGCGCTGGTGCATGATATGGCGGAGGCGCTGGTTGGGGACATCACGCCCGTAGACGGGGTTGCGAAGCACGAGAAGAATCGGCGAGAGAGCACAACCATGGATTACTTCACCAACTCTCTGCTCGGGAAAGTCAACGGTGGCATCACTGGACAGGAGCTCAAGGACATATGGCAGGAGTATGAGGATAGCGAGACGCTGGAGAGCAAGTTTGTGCACGATGTCGATAAGTTGGAGCTCGTGTTGCAGATGGTGGAGTACGAGAGGGTTCACGAACGTGAGCTGGATCTGGGCGAGTTCTCGTGGGTTGCGGGTCGGATTGTGCTTCCGGAGGTGAAGGCGTGGGCCGGGGAGATATTGAAGGAGAGGGAGGCGTTTTGGGGAAGTAAAGAGCACACGAATTTCTATGATGCGACGCAGCCGGATGCGAATCTTTTGGCGTAGAAGTTGGAGTATTACGGAGACAAGGAGAATGACAAGGTTGAGGAGAAGCCGTGAGCCGTGGATGCTCTGTGGTCTTTGGATTCGGTGGTTTTTTTGGGACTGTTGTGACGCTTCACGGTTGCTTGAATAGATACCATGGGCGTTTGCGTTGGCTTGGAGAGATAGATGGTGGCGTTGTCCCTTAGACTGCAACTTGAATTCGAGAACAAGGGATATGTTTCATAATTCCCAACTCCACAAATGTTGCGGTGTTCTGATGCACACACTGTTTTAAACGCCACCAAAAAGTGACCTGTGTTGACATTTGCGGGGTTGCCAAATTGTCATAGCAACCACCACCAGCACGAAATAATCACGCGCCATCGCCAAAACCCAGGCCTTTCATCCTTTCTGCCTCAAGCCTGAGCTTCAGCTCCAATCCCAACTGCGACCTCCTCCCATCCCATCCCATCGCCAGGCGCACAATCTACGAACCAGGGCCACATATCTCTGTTGCGTAGCTGCGACTGGCCGCCAATTGTGCGGCCATCTCCCAACGTATCGCTTCCAAGTTTTCGTCTTCCTCGCCATCGACTGGCTGAGCCGCACCATCAGCCTCGGCCTCTTCACCGCATCATCCTGACTCCCACAACCCATCAGCCTCACCAGATCAGATCACCACATCTCCCGAATGCCCTCCTCCATCTCGCACATCGCCAAATGAACCCCTTACGGTCTTCAGCACGATGACGAACTCTCCGAATGCGATGCCTGGCGCATTCAACTTCCATCCTCGCGAGCCCGCGGCGCCTCGCCTCTCAGGCGCGAAATCCCACATCTTCCAACCCCCACGCACACCGAGCGCATCTGCTTCGAGCAGTCTGATATTGACGAGGAGTACACAAAGCATAATGAGCCTATCTTCGACCGGCGATGCAGGACGCCCGAAATTTGCTCCAAGAAAACGAACCTTGGAGGACTATAATGGTGGTAATGAGACGCCGAGAAACAATAGTGATGGATATTTTGGATGGGGAACAAACGGAAATGCAAATGGTTTTGGATTAGATGGGGCAGCGGAAGGAGGAGAAGGCTGGATGCCATCAAGTCCACAACTATTCGTGAACACGAGATACGCGCTGGCTGGTGGAATGGACACACCTTCCCTAGCAGCAGCACGGGACGCCGAGCTAGGCACGGAATCTTACAACGACGTTGGCTACCGAAAATCTCTCGGCGATGACGACCGCCCTACAATGACGGGGAGAGGACTCTTCGGTGAGCATGAAGATCCTTCCCACTTCCCAATGGAGCAAGACTTTGGAAGGGAGGCAAATGGAAGAGGACGGTATGGCGATAGTCCGCGCACGGCAGCTTGGTCCAAGACTGCGATATCTGTTGCTGGGGCGGTGGTAGGCAAGGTGTGGGAGTTCTGCAGGAATAGCACTACGATATTTAGTGGGTTCCATGCTGGTGGTGGGACGGGCTATCGACTTAATCCTGAGGACACGGCGAGAAATTTCGAGGTTATTGAGGAGGAGAAGTACGGATATGAGAGGGAATCGACGCCTCTCCCTGGCCAATTCCCTCAAGAAGATCTGGATTTCATTCCTAATTATATGGATAACCCAACTCCCGATAACACCCCCCCTCGCCCCTCGAAACGTCGACAAGTTTCTTATAACAGCAATCCTACTCCCAACGAGAACGAATTGGCAAAGAACTGGGTCGTCGTACCGCCTCCTCCTGCTACATCCACACCATCGAAAACACAAAGAAGTGCCGGGGTAGCAAGATACAGCATGCCGACCTCTTCTTCCTCAGCACGTCGTTCCGTCCCGGCAAATACTTCCCGCCCTGCATCCCGTGCAGCATTCAGCACCGCGCCCCGCGTCAAATCTGGCTTCACCTCTCGCGTTTCGCACGCTGGATCTCCAGCTCTCAATCCTGCTCGTGGAGCATCATATGCTTCTCCTCGCCACTCACCACAAACTTCCATCTCAGGGTCAAGGATTCCAATCACCGCCACAGCTAATGGCAGAATGGGTAGTCCAACTAGGGCGGGAGTCGGAGCAGATAGCCCAGCGGCAAAAGAAGCAGCGCGATGGGCGGCGCTGAAGCGGAAAGAGGAGCGAGAGCAAGATGAGAGTATACGCCGTCTGGATCGACAACTCAAAGATCTTATTCGAGAAGGCAAGGAGGCGTTGGGCACGAAGATTGAGGTGGAGATCGAAGACGATATACCAAAGAGCAAAAAATGGGCGTTCTGAGTCTTGCGAGGAACAGTCGAAAATGTGATTACCCGTCATTATCAGCGTTTCCCTCCTCAAAGTGGTGCATCGACTCAAGTGAGCAATAATCTGTGGAGGATACTATGGATGAGAAAAAGGGGTGGCAGTTGTTTGTGTAAAGTGTAAAGGGATTTTCGATTCTTTGCTTATATGTTCGGTGGATTTTGGCGCCTCTGGATGGATGGAGATATTGTTCTTTTGTGATATTGGAGGAGGAGTTTGGCGCAAATCAAAGATACCATACGATACCATTCTTTGAGGACGAGAGGAGCGATGTCTCCAGAGATGAAAGCAGCATTTGGTGTTGATGTTGATTAGCACTCAACACTGGGCGCCGAACTGGACATAACAGAGATGAGATGTGATTCTTTACATTGTCTTGAGTGTCTGCTGATACGTTGCAACTCTGTGATTGGGTTCTGCCTTTGCTAGAGTTTGATCGCTTGCGAATTTGATGGCAAGCGCCTCCGCCCACTCTTTACCCTCATTCATTCTTCTCGTTGCACATTGCAAGTTATTCCAAATGTGGGGAGTTGGAGTCAACTGTAATTCTCCCCCTCCTGCAGCGCACTCGTCTCCAGATGGCAGCTGGCAACGCGCGAACTGGAGGTTATTGCGAAACTCTGCCTCGGGAACGTTTTCAATCACATGCCCACATGTCTCACTCTGTGCAAGCCCACGATGCGCCTTGCTCCTCAGCATGCCAGAACAACCTTCACTATACAAGCAACAGGGATGAGCGAATTCATATACTCCCCGATTCCAGCCAGCAGCGGCGGGTTTCGCATTTTGAGGCTCCGGCCCGGAAGTCCAGATAACAGCGTAGAGTGTGACCTCATCATCGCCCAGCTCGACTCAAGTAACCTGCTACCTTACGATGCTTTGTCGTATTTCTGGGGAGACCCTGATGATCGAGAGGCCATCACGGTTCATGGCCGCGAACAGCATGTGACAAGGAATCTCCATGCAGCTCTAAGGCAGCTGAGGTCTGTATCCAGAGACCGACTGCTCTGGGCCGATGCAGTCTGTATCAACCAAAATGATGCAGAAGAGAAGGGCAAACAGGTCCAACTTATGAGAGATATCTATCGAAAGGCGGAACGCACAATTGTCTGGCTTGGCGAGGGTTCAATCTTTACTCCACCGGGCTTCAATCTCATATCCCGCCTCCCCAAGGCTCACAGGCTGAGAATCGACCGGGGAGACGACCGACCACTTCATCACTTGAGCGCTGCCGACCGAGACTCCTATGATTTGCCATCTCACCTCTCCCGGGACTGGCTTGGGCTCATCTGCATCTTTGACCTCGCATATTTCAAAAGAATCCGGAATGTCCAAGAAGTCGCGGTCTCGAGAAAGGTCGATATCTTCTGCGGCAGCGATTCGTGCTCATGGGATGAGCTGATCCAGTCGCTTGATGCCTGCCAGGGACTGCAGCTCAGACGACTGTACGACATAAGTATGACTCCTCCCATCTACGGGATCGATCGTGCGAAAGTCAGCTTCCACCGTGGTCTGCGATGGAGCTTGCTGGACCCCTTAGCCCGCCATCGTTCCTTCAATGCCACAGACAAAAGAGACAAAATCTTCGCTCTGCTTGGACTGGTAGATAGCGAAGATGGCTCCTCAGCTAGCGTTAAGCCGGATTACGATCACGGGCATACAGCAGGGATGGCTTATACGAGCCTTGCAACGACTCTCCTAGAGAACAGCAATCACTTGGACATCTTGAGCGTTCCTCGTGTCCAGAGCTCAACGTGGGCGATTGCTTCGCAATTGCCGTCGTGGGTGCCAGATTGGAGCCTTCAATTGCAAGTCAAGCCGCTCATTGACTTTGCCATTCCGGATATTGCCAGGATGGTAGAAGATGGGGTCGATCTTTCGGCCGACGAGCCAGACAACGAAGAAACGCGTGCTGAGCCTCTTATTCTCTTTGCAGCAACAGGCTCGTCGCAATCCTGTCCAAAGTTCAACGCAAAAAACCCCTACTTTGTCTCGAGGGCTATATCCTAGACGAGGTTGACCGGGTAGGCATGACCCTAAACAATCCCTATGCTGGTATGGGCCATAGCGAGCTCATGAACTCGAAGTCGCTGCTGAGTATGCTATCCGCTATTCCCAGAACAATGCTCGGTGCCGCAGAACTGTCTCGCACATGGATAGACTGGGAATCCATCACCGCAGCCCACATTCGACAGCACTACGTCACTGGTGAACCGATGCTAGATGCTTACTGGAAGACATTCCTCGGCGGCCACACCGTATTCTCGGAAGACAGGTGGCTGGAAGAGCGCAACAGGTGGGAAGCCCTCGTCCGCGATTATCGGACGCCAGCGCGCTTCAACCTGCACAAATCCCCGGCCGCCTATGCAGTTGCTCTCGGGGCGATGGTAGGAGTCCGTCTCGTCAGGCAGGCGGTTGGGACTGCTGTCGACATACCGCCGTCTTCTGAGCTGCCGGCTGACTTGGATAGCCCTACCAGTGAGATGATGCTGCAGAGGCGGATGTTTACGACGCGTGATGGACTCATCGGCTTAGGTCCCGAGGCACTACAGACGCGAGATTGCATTGCACTGTGTAAAGGGGGCAAAGTACCGTATGTACTGAGAAAAGTGCCAGAGGGGTACGAGCTCGTTGGGGAATGTTATATGCATGGTATTACGCAAGGCGAGAGGTTCGTAGAGCAAAAGTGTGGCGAGGTGTGGATTGCTTGACGAGAGGGGATTCACTGTTTTGGCTGCTTCTAAATTCCAACTGATTGGCTTCGACCCCTGGCAATCTTTCTGTTTATAGATTGGGTAATATTAAAACCTGAATAACCGCCACGACAAACCCTCTTATCAGTCAGGATTCTCATGTGGAAAGTATGAAATTACGAAGTCTTCTCTCCGCCTCCCACTCGTTTTCCTGTAAAGCCAGATTCCAAAACGGAGATTGAGATCAAAAGCTATTCATCTAGCGTTTAGATAACGGAATCGGTGGTCGGTGCTATTGTTCTCGCAGCTCTAGCATATTTGCTCCAATCCATACTCTTTGGAGGCCATGACCAGGCTTGGCAGAAATACCTAATTTCTGGTTTCGATAGGTATCGATGCCAGAATCGTAAGGTATTAATCGCGAGGTTTCCACGAGTTTCGCCTATTTCCCTAAAAATAGGCGAGGTACACCGAAAAGCAAATTTCAGCGAAACGCAAGTTGATTTTCTCGCGGGCAAAATCGTCTTTTTGGTCCGTACGTCGAAAATCAAAATCGCACCTTACTCTTAACTTGCTCGTAGAATATTATTTTTGGTGAGCGAAACTGAATAAGAGTATCTAAATCTTATTTTTATTACTTAAATAATACTTTTGCTTCTTCGGATTTCTTAGGAGAAGGCGTGGTTATAGAGAAATAAAAAAATATTTGCGTTTCGCTGAAATTTGCTTTTCGGTGTACCTCGCCTATTTTTAGGGAAATAGGCGAAACTGGTGGAAACCTCGCGATTAATACTATCAATAAAGTATTGATCCCCGGAACCCAATTCCCTCCTTTAATTGTAATTAACTTTAGAACCACTTCCCTTATAAGAAAACTTTTAGTAGCGCAAATATTCTACTTAATTTAGGCTTTCTATTTAGCTACTTATTTTATAGTTTAGACTAAAACTTATCTCAATGCGGCTATTTTAAGCAAAAAATAGCTTTTGAGATTTTCGTAAGGCTCGCTTATAATAAGTATTCTAATAAGAGATATGAATATAATACTACGAGTTTAGGGCCGCTTCGCTAAAATTATCACTAGCGGCCCTACGCAAGCTCCGGGGCTAGCAATAATTTTGCCCTAAACTCGTCCCGAGTAGCTTTAAATAATATTTCTTAATAATAAACTGTTTATAAATTATATAAGAAAGAAAATAGCTTATAAATATATAAAATTACTTAAAAATAAGCTAAAAATATTCTTTTAATTTATATTTTAATTTTAATTCTTTTAAATATTAAGTTTAATAAATTTAAAATTAAAATATTATTATAAAATTAAGTCTTTTATAATTTATTAAAAGAATTTAAGTTTTAATAATATAAGTCTAATAAAATTAATTATATAAGTATTTTAAATAAAAATAAAACTAAATAAGTTTAAAAAACTAAAGAAAATTAATTTAAAAAATTAATTTAAATATATATAAATTATAAACTAATAAAAGTTATTTATTAATATTAAATAATATATTTCTTTAATTTTATTTAAATATAAAATTATATTTTAATAAATCTTTTAATATTTTTAAAAAAAATAAAAGCTATTATATTATATAATAAAATTATATAATATTTTAAGTTATTTCTAAATTTCTAAAATAAATTAATAATATTATTTAATATAAGTTTATTTTAAAAGAAGTCTTTAAATATAAAAGATTTAGAAATTATTATAATAAAACTTTTAATATTTTAATATTTTTATATATAAGTAATCTAATTTATATATTTCTTATATTTCTTATATTTCTTATATTTCTTATATTTCTTATATAATATATTATTTAATTAATTTAATAAAATAAAGCTTTCTTAGCTCTTTCTTTTCTTTTATATTCTTTTTATATTTTAATTAAATATATATATTAATATAATTCTTTTAAATTTTAAGTTTAATTAAATTTATATATTATTAAAATATTTAATATAATAAAAATTATAATAAATCTAAATCTAAAATATTATTATAAAATATTAAAAAAAATACTTATATATTAAAAACTCTTATAAAATTAAATCTTTTTTATAATATAAGTACTTTAAATAAAAACTAATAATTTTTAATTTTTAATTTCAATCTAAATATATATAAATTATTTAAAAAAAAAGTAAATATTTATTAAGCTTTATATAAGATTTAAATTATATTTATATAATATTTTTCTGTAATTTCCTTTAAATATAAAAATATTTTTTAAAAAAAATAAAAGCTATTATATTATAATTAATAATATTTTTATAAATTAATAAAATTTAATATAATATAATTTACTTTTAATAAAATAATCTAATTTATAAATTTCTTATATAATATATTACTTAATTAATTTATAATTAATTTTTTTTTATTAATTTAATTTATAAAATTCTTTTTTAAATATATATTTTTTTAAATATATATTTTTTTAAATATATATTTTTTTAAATATATATTTTTTTAAATATATATTTTTTTAAATATTTAATTTTATAAATTCTTAAACTTTAAACTTAATATAATTTCTTTAAATTATTAAAATTATTAATTATATATTTTAATTATATATTTTAATTATATATTTTAATTATATATTTTAATTATATATTTTAATTATGTATTTTAATTATATATAAGAACTTATATTTAATATTTTAAATTTAGTTTATTTTTATTTTTTATAAATTATTATAGCTTTTACTTATAAAGCTCTTTTTCTTTTATAAGCCTTTTTAAGTCTTACTTGCCTTTATAAGTTTCTTATTAATTATACTTCTATTTATAGTTTTTTCTTAATTTTTATTTTTATTTTTATAAAGCTTTCTTTTTTTTTTATAACTTATTATAGCTCTTTCTTTTATTTATTATTTTTTCTAAGCTATCTAATAAGCTTATAAAGCTCCCTCTTTTCTTATATAAACTCTTATAGCCTTTATAACGGCTAGTATTATATAATTAGTTTTAGCTAAAGGAATTAATTTTAGCTAAGGTTCCAAGCTATAGTTCAAATCAAGCTCGCTTCCAAAGCTCGGCGTTTTAGTAGTCTTGGCCATACCTACTTATCTACTGCCACACCTCACTCCTTCTCTCCTTAGCTTTAGATTCTATAGGATATTAGAATTATAGATCTTTAAGCATTATTCCATTACTTTATTCCTGCTATTATAGCCTTATTCTTATTTATAAAGCTCTCTCTTATACCTATAGAACTTCCCTTAAGCTTGCTAGGTATTAGAATAGCAGTATACGATATGCGAGAGTTTTGGTGTTCCTCACGTGACTTGGATTTTAGGGAGTCCCGAGAGCTAGCTAGAGCCCTGAGAATTCCCTTTATCCCACCCCTCCCGAGCTTTAAAAAATCGTAATAAAAGCCCCTCGCATTCCAGAACCACTAAAATAGAGAGAAAGGTACTTGAGCATCTCCTCTCTAATCCCAAGCTCAGCCCTAAGGATTTGGACGGAATCGCGTTCCGATGCGCGATTCCCTAGAAGAGGGCGATTCTGGTGTTCCTCACGTGACCCGCTTTTTCCAGGGAGTACTGGGAGCCAACCGCTTAGGGTGGTCCGAACGTAGGACAATATAGAAGAGGATATGAGGGTCATTTTAAAATTAAGATAATATTAACTTTTATTAATATTATTATTAATTCTTTTAAGAGAAAGACTAGAAAATAAATAAATTATATATAAATATATTATTATATAAATTAAATAATAAATAGAAGAGATAATTTAAGGCTAAGTATTAATTCAGTATTAATACATATTAATTCTTGTAATACCTAAGTAATACCATCCAGTATTAATACCTTATTAATACCAAAAGTATTTTTGCCAAGCCTGGCCATAACTTGAGCCATACTCCTCTTGCAGGAGAAGAGCTAGGTAAGAGAAGTAAGCTAAGGGAAATGTTATATAATTCAAAAGCCTATTTTTCGGGAGGCATATCTGGGGGTAAGGGAATGAATTTACCACGGCTCTTCCCAAGCACAGTTCGTTAATATGCACCACAGAACAAATCGATCTGGCGCATACAAACTTTAGATAGTAAATGAAATCTCTAGCTTTTCCTGCAAAGCAGGCTAACTATCTGGTCCCGGGCGACCATGCCCAGATTCCTCCAAAATTCATGGATAATATTAAATTGTGGAAAAAATAATATAGTTAGTAATCTTGCTACACTTGATATAGGAGGTAATCCATGCATTTACAGCTGCTACGGACCAGATTCCCATGCCGCTTATAATAGCTGGTCCAAAAGAAGTACACAAATCTTGACTTGTTCAATGAAATAATAAATTATCTTGTCAAACGGACCTCAAAACTTCCTTGAGTAAACCTGCAACAAATGCGTCTCTGGCTTTTAAAGCAAAGCGGGTGTGACGAACTGGCCAGACAAAATAAACCCTCCACTAGGCGTTGCTTTAGGGGAAGCTGTGAGGACGGAAATACTAACATGCGAAAAATGGACCGTACTCAACGTGAACTGCATACTTGTCCGAATCATTGCGATCCTGCATATGTCGGCTCTGCCAGCTACTATAATGGTGGCTTGAGTATCAGGAAGTGCTTGCCTCCCTTTTAAGCGAGGCACTAGCGAGCTTGCGTCCGTGAGGAGAATTGTCCCAAGGCTTTCTGGAACATTGAGATTACACAAGAGTGCGCGGGGGGAGGATAGCGGAGGCTTCGACAGGTTTCTTGGAATTTATTTTGTTTCCCGTGTGGTTTTGATTTGCTGGCTGGCGAAGCTGCAGCTGGTGGCGGAGGCTGTGTAAATGCCAGCTCAACTCCCGAAACGTCACCACATTGGAGGCCTTTTCTCTTTTCGAAATTTTGGCACTCTTTCCATTCAACAATCTTTACCCCTAGGAGAAAACAATGCCGTTGATCGGGGCAGCTATCTTGAAACCCAGTGACAAGTCACAGCGCAAATAGTGCTTCTCCGTTTACGGATAAGCTGGCCTGAAGAAACGAGCACTTGTGAGCTGCATCTTCGCAATCTCGATGATCGAATGTGCGGGTTTGGGGTTAGTCAATGATTTGGGTCAGCGAAGTGCATGTGACCCCGAGTAATCAGTTGCGCCCTGTTATTTGATATGGCTGCCGTGGCTTACTTTACTGTTCTCAAGAGGGCTGCCGCAAACGCCACTCTACCTATTTTCTGAAACTCCCTTCCAGCTTTATGTCTCAACCGACAGCCTCACTTTAGGAGACGGCAAGCGCCGCAGGTGTTGTAGCAACCTGTAGACTCAAGATTTTCTACTTCCAATAATCCCGAAGCTGGTTCACTCTTTAATCTCTTCCGACTAACTGGCGTTGACGCCTTACCTCTTTGAAAATCATAGCCAAAATCAATGGATCCACTTAGTATTGTGTCAAGCGTCATTGCAGTCTCCCAAGCTGGAGAGCGAGTGGACAGCCTAATCTCTTGCATTCAAACGTTACTGAATGCTCCAAGAGAACTCGCCGCACTTGTCAATGAAATCTCGAATATAGGAGCCGCGCTTTCAGGATTAAACTCTAGGATCCTAAATTCACAAGAGGCTTTCGCCAGCTCTAGATGTATTCATCAAATATTAGAGAACTGCCTCGTGCACGTGGAGGCACTAGAACGTTTAGCTGCCATCTCATTGACAACGAGAGATGCAACGCCCCTTGGAAGTGATGGGAGAACAGCCAGAGGAACGAAAAGAATAGCCTGGCTAAGAAAACAAAGGAGGATTGAAAAGATTAAGCAAGAGTTGAAAGTCGCGCTCTCGGCAATTCATTTGGAGCTATTATCATTGAACCTGTAAGTTCCTGTGTCACCCATCGCCCGAAAGAAGGACGCAGTTGATTTGAAGACAGTGCCAGCCAAGCCCAAGTGGTTTCAAGTATAAGTATATTCGAGGTTTCAGTTCAAAGCCTTCGAGCTACTACTATCCTTTCCTCGGATGCTTCTCATCAGAAGTCCATCACTGCATGTGGCGCCATTGATATTTCTAAGTTGTGGCTTTGCTAACCCACTGTGCTTGGTGGAGTCTTCGAATGCAGACCAAAAACAAGATGACTTGCGTTGCCTCCCCAAGGATGGACGACTATGTGACTCCCAGGTCGAAATCCTGGACATTGGCAGCAGAACCGCAAATACACCAACCATTCCGTCACAGAAAGAGTATCTGTACCCGCACAAGTCAGTTCAACTCAACATTCAGACCGTTGGTATTTTCGGCGGGCTGCTTGGTTGGCTCAGTATGGAAACGGCTAGGGAGCACCTGGATCACGAAGTCCACTCCTCGAAACGTGTCAAGCAGTCTCGGCCCTCTTTTTTGGCTAGATATCATCCCGCTTGGTGGGCCTCAGTCATGACCTATACCTTGCGATATCAATCAACCCCCTATCCCTGTCTGTCTTTGCCATTTCAAGCTCTTCTGCCGCCTGATGCAGAAATCTTCATTTGCATAAGGACTGGTCAGCTAGAACGCCTCAAAAGGTTGTTTGTAGAACAAAGAGCCTCCGTGACGGATATGATGGCACCTTACGGTTTGTCAACAACTGCACTGGCAATCATTTACAACCAGACGGAAATATATCAGCTCCTTGATTCTGCTGGTGCAAGTAGGGTCTCCACAATGCTCCACAAATCTACTGGGTTTGAGGTCGGGGGGTTTTGGTCAAATTATTCCACTCTTGACTGTTCAGTCTCTGCACAGGCGATCATGGATGACCATCAATATTACACATGCTGCGGATTCGTGGCAAAAACTCTTTCCAATGCGGCAACCCAATCTTGTCCGGAAAGGGACTCTTTTACGCGACTTCACCGAAGCACGCTGGGGTTGACAACTGAATGCTTAGAGACCTTACGAGCCTACCGACAGTAGTCTGTGCGCACAGGGCATTTTCCAGGTATTTTCAGGCTCCATAAATTCGCTTACAGGCCTTAGAAAACTAAAGTCTCCTTAAACACTTAAAAGTTATAAGATAACAAATAATAGTCACGACTTAATATTTAGGGTTAGAGAACCAAAGTAACCTAAGTATAATTTGATTAATTAATTTTTAAAGATTTGCACGTTTCAAAATTGTATTTATTAGTAAAATGCCCTGAGCGCACAGACTACTGTCGTTAGGCTCGTTACATTTCGACCCTAGTGTAAACATCAATGAGGTTGATTCGAAGGGACGCTCTGCTTTGCATTTGGCAACATACTTATGCGATATACAGGAAGTTGAACTTCTCCTTAGAGCTAATGCAAGCTCCGAAGTATGCGACTATACTGGAAAGTCCCCACTCCGAGTTGCAGCTGCTTTAGGTTGGGCTGATGGCACTGCCTTGCTGGCCAGCGTTAGTGTGGACCCTGAGCAAAGAAATCAACTCAACTTCAGCAACACAATTTTGCATAACGTGTGCTTCCAAGGCCACGCCCATATTGTTGAGCTCCTGCTTGATGCTGGAGCCGATATGGAAGCGCCAAATGACATTGGGGAAACTTCGCTTCGACATGCTGTGATCAGAAACAAAGTGGAAGTCCTGAAAGTTTTACATGAACGTGGCGCGGCATTCACGATGGTCGATAATATTGGCTGCACTGCGTTTCATGATGCGATATTGATGAACGCGCACGAGTGTCTGCACTTCATTTTGAAACTCCGAGTTCGGGTGGACCAGAGAATCAGATATATGACTAATTCTATCGGTCTGCAACTGTACACCCAGGGAAAAAGGGGCATTTCTTATTCTGTTATGCTGCAAATTCTAGTCATATCGCGCTCTTATTAATCTTATGCGGACCTATGGTGAAAGGAATTTAACCTGGCTAGTCTGTTTCTTCACTAACTTCTTTTCCTCTGAGTGTGCTTGGGCATGTGCTTACAATCGACTAGCAAATTAGTACACATTTGTGTTGCTTGGGTTTCGGTACTCGTATTGATCACCAGGTAATTGTCTTCGTTCTCCTTGCCATCGTTGCATCATCCGCCGAGACTCTTTGCAAACACACCAACTCTGCCCTTTTCCCCCCCAACTCAGCTCCGCTCCACTTCACACCAGCAACTCTTGCCCAACCTGGCACCCTCCCATCTTCAATAAACTCTTCTTCAACCTCCATGACCCACTGTAGTACTTTACCAGCAAAAACACTATCCCAAATACCTTCTCTCCTAGGATTTGCAAGCAAAAAGTTGATTGCTTCTCTACGGATTGACGGCTCGCGACACTTCAGGCCCACGACCCAAAGTGGGACAATAACTCTCGTGTCGAAGCAGAAATTTGAGGTGCGTGTCTTATTCGCAGTCGGCATCTCTTTCATCACCGCTTTCGCGAGATACACGACTCGTTTGTAAACAGGATTGTATTCGTCATGTATCGATTCATCAACCGAAAGATGCGTCGATAATCCAATGTATCCGATCGCCATGGATAACTGAATAAAGAGTGCGTAGTGTTTCTGCGGGCCGTCGCCTATCTTCTGTAGCACCGGCTCGAGAGCTTTGTTAAATCGCCACACATCGGCTTGAATTTCCTCCTGCTCTTTCATAGCCCAGCGCCAGATCTCGGAATCCTTGCGAACGTCAGGCCCTAAATAGGCCGAGTGGGTGGTGATTAGGTACACCCCTCGACGAATAATTCCGTTGTAGTATGTTCCCGCTTCGAAAATGTCCGAGAAGGTGTCGGGCATGGACCGTGTGAATCTCGGACCTTCGTTCCCCAGAACTGCGTGGAGCTCTGGGGAGTGACCGTCTGCGAAGAAGGAATGCTGGACTGCCAATCGACAGAATATTTGAATTAAGTCGTCTTCGACGACATATGGCGCTGGAGATAGTCGTGTGTATTTGTCCTTATCGTTTTTATATTTCTCTCTCCATTCTTGAATGAGCCGAATCCCAGCATGGACTTGATTGACTGCGAGGTCCATGTTTCCAGTCCAAGATTCGAATGCTAAGATGAGCAGGCAAGTGAGTAGCATAGTTCTCAAGTCCACCTTCTTTGCGGATGCGTCAGCCGCCATGTGCTTCACAGCTTTAGAATATTGTCTAAGGGCATTTCGATGATGCGCATTAGCCGCCGCATCTCTTTCGATGGGGGTTAAAGCCAATTTGTCGAAGGATTGGACGAGTTCCGCCGTCTTGTCCAGGGCGCCAAGCGCGACTATAGCATGGCGGATCGCAGGATTGAAATGGCAAGACTCCAACAACCGTTGGCGTGTGTAACCGGAATCGAAGGTGGGAAAGATGTCATAGCCTGTGCGAGCACAGAAGAGATCGAAGTATTGGTGTTCTTCATTGTTGGCAAATGGTGATTTTGCCAGAGAGCTCGAAGAAGGCACTTTCATAGCTGGCTGAGATGGCACGAGTTCACGCTTCCACCTCAGGATAAGATGGTAGCCATCACACTCGACCCCGAATTTGATGCACCGCTGGCAGACTGGCTTGCCTTCATCGCATTTCACTCTTCGAAGCCTAGGTTGACAAAGTTCAGCTAGCCGGGAGGCACAGATTGCGATGATTCGTTACCTGCAGGTACCACATCCTGTTCTGACTTTCGGTGCACTCCTTCGCTTCTTTGGATATGGTTTTATTGTTGAGCTCATAGTCGCGATGATGAGACCCAGGAAGCAAGGACCAACAGAGAGTATCGAGTATCTAAGGTTGGGGCAACGTTTCGCGGGGTGTCGGCTTGGCTGTAGCCCAAAGTGTGTGCGAGTTGGCGCAGTTGAGGTTGGGGTTGGGAGGTGGTCCGATATCTCCTGCTTACCTAAGGTTAAGTCGAAATGCTCGGTACAGTGGGTACACTGGACTGGTCCTCGGTATTTAGGAAAAAGTAAAACGACCCCCCTCCCCCTGTGTCGATTAGGGGTGTCGATTGGGGCCACACTAACCGAAATCAGCAAGCGGTGGTACGTGCCCGTATATATTACTTTGTACATGCTAGTGTGTGCAAATTAATATATATTGGCACCTAGTGCGTATCTCGCATTTTGCTTTAATATACCGTAATGCGCATATTATTGTTATTGTTTCCAGATAGATTTGGTTATAATGCATGTGACAATACTTAATTCCTCTTAACCTCTGGCAAAACGGGAAAATATAAAGCAATACTGTTATGGGGATATAAAACACGGAGTAATATAGATAGTAGAATGGGCTTCCACAGCGTGGGATCAAAGCGTACGAGTGAGACGTGAAATTAGAGAGTGAAGGTTGATTTATTGGTTTTTCTAAGAACTAAGAAGGAGAGCGGGAAATATATATGAAACCGGACGTACGGACGTCCGGTGGTCACCTGACCGCGCCACGTGACCAATAGGGGTAAAATTCCCACTACAATACCTTGCCGTATAAACTTATACAAGTAATTATTTAGACATTATTAAAATAACATAATCGGATGAACCTAATATATGGCCTTTAACTTTCTTACTTTATAATTAATTATTTTATTCTTTTTTTAATGAATTATTTACTTATAAAATCGAGAAAGCTTATTAGATAATTAAATATAAGTTACTAGAGAAAGTAAAATATATTAGATTACTTAAATACTAGAGTTAATTAAATAGCCTTATTAGTTTTAAATAATTTTAAATAGCTGTAATGCATACATTAACGAGTGTCTAGCTGGATTTAGTAGCCTAATTAGGCTAGTACTTATATGGGATCGCACTCCCAAATTGGGACTAGTGCTTCCGTACATCCAGCGGAACACTAGATTCTATATATGGAGGCATGCGAGCTTTGGAAATGGGTATCGATTAGTTTATTACTGAGAACCAGTTCTTGGAATTAATTATATTTCCACGCTTCACTCTATACTTTACCCTATATTCCACCCCTTTACCTTGACTACTTGCATAGCACCCTGCTATATTGGGAGCCTTACAATAGCTTTAAAGAAAATTATTAATAAATTTTATTACAAAATTTAAAATTTAAAATTAAAAGTAATTAAAATAAGTATTACCTAAAATAAGATATTTTTTAATTATATAAAATAATATTATTTCTTATATTTATTATTAATAATTTATACTAGTTTTATATTATATTTAAGATATATATAACAAATAAGGTTTATTTTAAAGGCTTTATAAAAAAGATCTTTATATTTTTAAGCTTTTTTTTTAAAAAAATATTAATAATATTATTTTAATTTTAAGAATTATTTATTTTCTTTTATTTATTTATTTTATTTTATTTTTAATTATATATTTCCTATTATTTTATATTTAATTTCCTTTCTTTATTTTTAAAGTCTTTCTTAAATCTCTTTTAAATTATATATATCTTTATTAAATTACTTTTATTATTTTTCTTATTTCTTAATATAAATCTTTTATTTATAATTTTAGTCTTTATTAAGTAGTTTTAATTAATATTATAAAGCTTTTAATATAATATTTAATAATTACTTTATTTCTAGCTTTAGTTTAAGTTATAAAATAAATATTTCTAATAATTACTTTTATAATAAATCTAGTATTAATATAATTAATTTTACTAATAAATATATTTAAATCTTATTTTATTTTTATATATTAATACTAATATATTAAAGCTTATTTAGAAATATTTCTTTTATAAGAAATTAATTTTGTAATAATATTTAATATTAATAAATTATAATTTTTCTAATAATATTTACCTTTTTTTTCTCCTAATAATTTATTTTTCTTTATTTAAAATTAATGTTATATTAAGAATAATAAAACGAAGTTTAATAAAATAAGTAATTTTATTATTAATAATAGTTTATTTCTAAATTTTACATTTTTAATTTAATAAAAATAAAGAAATATTACTAATATATTTATTTCTTAAATATTCTTATAAAATATTCTAATATTTCTTATAGCCTTTTAAAAGCTTTTTTAATTATAAAATTATATTATATTATATATAATTATTAGTTTTATAATTTCTTTTTTATTTCTAGTTTATAAATATTATAAAAGCTTTATATTAATATAAATAAAGTAAGAAGTTTATATTAATAATTAAAGAAAAAGCTAATTAAAAATAATTATAATAATAATAAAAAATAATAAAGATTTATATAAAATTATAACTTAAATTATAAAAATAATTATTTAAATACTTATTAATAAAAAATAATATTAAAAAATGAAAATACAAATTTTAGCTTAAATTAAGTAAATATAATAGAGTTTCTTATTAAATTCGAATTATTTTAATTTCCTTAATTTAGAAATTAAATAATTCAAGTTTAAATAAAGATTTTTTTTAAAAGCCTTATATAAATTTTTTTTTCTTTTCTAATAATATTTTTAAAATTAAGCATTTAATATAATTAGATTAATTATTAATTTAATTATTCTTATTTTTATTTAAATATAATTTTAGCTAGTTTATTTTTTATTTTATAATTCGAAAAGTTTATTTTAATCTATTAAATTTCAAATATATTAATATTTACTAATATATTTAAAAATTAAGCTTTAATAAAACTAAAAATTTATAATTAAGTAATTTAAATTATGGAAAATATAATATTAATATATTTTATTTTTATTTTCTTAAACTAAATAATAAATAACTTATTAATATAATTAGAAAAAAGCTTTATAAAATTTAATACTAGTAATATTAGAAATATATTTTTTTAAATAAAAATAGTTTAAATAATATACTATTAATTATTTTATTAATAAAAAATATTTAAATATTTAAATATTTAAAAATAAGTTTTATTTTTATTTTTATAAATTTAATAAATATATTTAATTTTATTTATATTAATATTTATTTCTAATAATAAGTATTTATAATTTAAAATTAAAACTAATTTTTAAATTTATTTTAAATATTATATAGGCTTATTAATTATAATTTACTTATATTAATTCAAAATTTAAAATTATTAAAATAAAATATAAAGCTATATAAAATAAATATAATTATAATTATAAATAAATATAAGGTTTATTACTAATAAATATAAGGTTTATTACTAATAAATATAAGATTTATTACTAATAAATATAAGATTTATTACTAATAAATATAAGTATTAGTATAGCTATTTCTCTAGGAATTATATATATAGTTACGGGATATAAGTAATAGATAATGGAATATAGGATACGGGATATAATTATATAACCTTATATCCTATTAGTAACTCGACTAGTAGACTACACCCCTTTAGGCTTAGCAGATTTAGGGATTATATATTAATACTATAATATTATAATTCCTATTTCTAAAAAAGAACTTTACTAACCTTATATAAATAGCACTTCTATAACTATATAATAGTACCATATATTACTAGTAAACTAATACTAATTAGTTTATATTTAGATTAGAATAAGGTCTATTAGTACTTATAGATTAGAAAGGATTAAGCTATACTTGCCTAAGATTTAATTACTTAGGGGCAAAGCTATTATTTCAGTTAAAGAGGAGATAACTATTAATCCTATTACCTATAATTCGGTTATATAGGTAGGAAAGATACTTAATCTTACTAAGGCCTAATTATACTATATTAAAGAAGGAAATATCTATTAGTCCTATTACCTATAATTCGGTTATATAGGCAGGAAGGGCACTTAATCTTACTAAGTACTAAAACGGTTAGCTATTTAACTATCCTATTTTATTCCTATTTAACTCTTATAAAACCCTTTTAAAAACTACCTTTTTTTGAACCTCTGGGGCTTTTAAGCTTTAGAACTATTAAGTTCTTCCGAAATCTCAATATTTTACTTCTTAAATTTTACTTCCTAAATTTCTTATTATAGATGAAATTTTTACCTCGAATATAATATCTATTATAAACCACTTATCTTATAAACTATTCTTCTTCTTATAAACTTATCCTTTTTATAAACTACTATACCTCGAACTAGATATAAGCCTATAAAATATATAATAATAGAATATATTATAGTAGATAATTCCTTTATTAGATTTATCTAATCTAATTACTTTATAGATAATAATAATTTTAAGAAATTAGTAAGAAAGTAGAAATATAGGATTAATCTAAACTTTACTAAAATAGATAAGATAACTAAGTTCTTAGATACTAAGCTATTTTAATATATTCTCTATAAAATAGTTAATAATAACCTTTAGGAGCTATTTAGATATAACTTTAAAAACTTTATCTATTAAAAGAATTTTAATAAATTCGAACTCCTGGAAATATTATACCTATATAAAAATCTTTAATATAGTAGTATATTTATATAATAGAATAATAGTACTAATACTATTATAAATACCCTATATACTATTATAAAGGAAAATAAATAATATATATAATTAAACGAAAATATATTAGTAGCTAGATTAGACCTTATTAAGGAACTAATTTTATTAGGCTTTATTACTTTTATAAAAAACAAGTACTTAGAACCTATTATCTTTAATATTCCTATATTACTATTATCTTCTTTATTATTATATCCTATATCTTTACTAGATTTATATACTAGTACGGAAGCTCTAGAAGCAAATAGTATACTCCTATTACTACTACTATTATAACTATATCCGAATAACCCCTAATTTCCTTTAATTATAAGACTTATTAGGGAAGTTACTAAGATTTATACTAAAAAGTAAAAATATAATAGATCTAATAATAATTTTAATTATAAACTTACTATTTTCCTTAATATTTACTAATATATAAAGCTTCTATAAGAGGTACTAATATAAGCTTTTCTTACTATACTAAAGAAACTAGCTTAAAACCATTTCTATAATAACTAGCTCTCTTAATATATATATAAAAAGGCTTATATTAATATTTATAGCTTTTTTAAAGGCCCTGGATTTAAATATCGAAATTTAGATAAGTGAAATACTACTATATTAGCTTTTATAATAGCTAAATTTCCG